CCCTGAACCTTAAGCCCTTAACCTTAAGCCCTCATCGTAAACTTTAAAAGTCAGCGAAATTTGGCTGTGAGGAGTTGGGCATCCGAGTTTTCTACAGCTCTGCGTTGCTTGCCACTGTCTCAGGTCCCACGGTGGGAGGGTCCTGCCTACTGTGCTTGGGGTGTAGGGTTTAGGCTGGAAAGACCATACAGGACCTCACGGCCTTAAATCCAATAAACCCCAAACCTTCAACTTCTTCTCAAGTTGTTTTCATTAATGTCAGGTTCTGAAGTGGTTTCAGACTGGCAACTGCCAGGTTATGGGGGCGGATGCGTAACTGGGAACCGTTCATTGAATGAGGAGATCAATCTTGCACCACTTACTTAGAGGTTCAGCGCAAGTGTTACCTTAACTCAGATAGCCCCTGCGGTGAGGGTTCGTGATTTGCTGCTTAATGCGGGCCTATTAGGAGGATCAGCGGGACTTAGTAAGTACACTTCTGCCCCGTGTAGGCCACAGCTATTCCGGTTATTGACCTACTCACTAAGTCCCTCTGATCCTCCAAGTAGGATCCACAAATTCCGGATGCTTTAAACGCGGTGTGTGTGGACCCCCTAAACCCTAAACCCTATAGGATTTCACGCCCCTCCGATATTCCATGCTTCGAGGTTCATGGGACCTAGGAAATTAGAGGGCCTAGTATAGGTCATCCCAAATATAGCCACACCTGGCAGCCCTCTTAGGTAGTTGTTAGGTCCCATTAACCTCCAAGTAGCGGCCATAAAGGCAGACGTACACGGTGTACTGAGCGCAACTACAAGCGTATGGCCACGGCTAGAAGTTGCTGACAACCCTGTTGATAGCTATTTGAAGGTTCATGGGACCTAGTAACTACTTATACCGAGGCTTATATCCTACCTTACAGGAGTCACCTATAAGAGTGAGTCCTGTTAGGGGAAGTACTTGACGCTTTCTTGGTAACAGCAGCGGATGCCGGGTTCATAGCGAGGATTCTTGCGGAAAATGGGTACGCGTGAAAAGTAACAAGAGCCTTCAAGTAGTGTTTGCAAGCTTTTGTAGGGCCACTTCTGTGCTTCCGGACTAGTTAGGGGGTGAGGGTAAAGTAAATTAAGCCCTCAATCCTACCACCCTAAACCAATAGGGTGTAGGGGTTATCCCTTCATAACCCCTTAAGCCCCTTGAACCGAAACCAGAACCATGTTATGATTATGGGCTTCTAAACTGGGGGGATGGGGTTACCAAATCCTCCCATTATCCCTTACGTGCATGTAACCCTAATTCCTGTTCCTGTCCTTAGTACAGTGAGTAATCGTTACCCCTCTAGCAATATTAGGTATAGTTCACCAAGCTGTAGGTAATCAGGGTTGCAGGTATGCACCTGTCAGTGACTGAGGATGAGGCGGACATCTTTGGCGCGCTCTTTGCAGACGTCATGCTCTCCATCGGAGGCATGGACTGTATCCAGAGACGCACCCTGATGAATTTGCATACGTGAGCTATAGTCTAGACTCCTTAAAGTCGGTTTTATACGGGACTATACAGGGAGCATTATAGGGCTTATTAAGGGATACTGGAAGTTAAGATGTTTGGACATGCAGTTTTCAGGGGACTCCATTCAGGATGTCACATAGGTTAGGTTGGGCCTCCACCCACTAATGGTGATCACACGACATACTGGCAATTATATTAAGGCCTCTATATTGGTGGTTGTCAAAATTATGGTCCCTTTTTTGGTCCCTATTGTAATACGGCCCCGAATATTTAGGGTACCCAAAAAGGGACCATAATTTTGACAACCCTCCATATATTCCTAATGTACAGCTCATACTGAGTCGGGGCATGACCCAACACATAGGGCCATGTTTCATCATCCCCTCGGGCCTTCCTAATCTCCTGCTTTGCCGGGCATCTACCAAAGGGATGCTCAAGTTCATGTTACTTCTACGCCCCTGCCCGTACCCTAGTTTGAGTAGTATAGAAGGCTTGCAGGGAGGGGCCCTAAATCCTAACCTAAACCCTAGACCCTAAACCCTTAACCCTAAACCCTAAACCTACACACTGGAGCTCTTGGACCCCCATCATTGGATCCCATACTCTAGCTCATAAAGCCCATGCCTTTCCCTGAAAGCCCAAAATGGTCCTAAGAGCCTTAAGTATACACTACATACCTACCCTAAACCCTAAACAGTATACCCTAAACCCTGGCGCAGCAGCTACTGTGCCGAGTGTGGGCAACTTGGGGCAAGTGGAGCGCGACATCCTGTCTTTGCCATTCAAAGGATTCGACATTGTGATCCCCATGTACTGCCGTAAACGTTTTGGCTCAGATGGCTGACCGTTCCCCTTCCGATCGCTTCTTTGATCCGACACCTGCCGAGTGGAATCAGCAGGTGGGTCAGCTGAGGCAGGTAGCCATCTGCTCCAAGAGTCGGCTATCCTGACCATGCAACTGGTACACGGCCACATGCACAACAATGCCATGCACCATTGATATTCCACCAACTGCAGTCAACAGCAAACCCTAAACCCTAAACCCTAAATTTTAGAAAAACCTTGAACCCTAAACCCTAAAACACCAAAAACCCTAAATCCTAACAACCACAAAAACCCCAAAAACACTAAACCCTAAAAGCCCTAAACCTTTAGATTCAACATCTCCAGCCGTACTTTGTGCAAGTACTGCACTGTATACTCCACGGAATTGTACCGCAACGTGGAATTGCGTCTAAGTATATGCTATATGGTAAGTTCCCTAAATAGGGGGACCCCAATATAGACCCCCAAAATACTACAGTCCTTATTATAGGACCCCCCCAAAATGGTACCCATAATTTTGGGAAACCCCCAATATAGCTACATGGAGCCTTTGGGTTGAGGTAATCCGGATAAGTATGGTGTTATAAGTCCAAAGCATCATAGCAGTGGGCTTTCTTTGTAGCTACAGTTATGTCACACAGCCCGCCGCGGTATAGGGGTTTAGGGTGTAGGGTTTAGGGTTTAGTGGTTTAGGGTCTAGGGCTCAGGGTTTGGTAGAAGGCTCATTGTTACTATCCACTTGTACTTCGCTTTGACGGATATGCGCGTGCACCTGTGCTCCATCTACCCTCTGCAAGAGCAGAATGAGCACTCCCCTCAACCCTAAGCCCTGAAGTCCTAAACCCTAAATCCTAAGCCCTACACCTTCAACCCTAAACCCTAAGCCACGCTGGGAAACTGTTGCCATTATGTGCCGGTTTCGGTGGTGTCTGCTTTGTCTTGCCCCTGCGTAACAACTTCTTTCCGGATCTTGTCAGATGGAAAAAAATGGCTGCACAAAAAACTAAAACCTTAAAACCCTAAGCCCTAAACACTGAAACCCTGAAACCCTAAAACCCTAAACCCTGTACTTACCACGGCTTTTTCAGGCTCAGGTTCCCTGTTTGAAGGCTTTATTTGCTTACAAGTTATTTTTATTTGTATTGTAATATGAACTCCCAAGAAACAATGAACATGTTTTTTAAACTTTCCATATCTAAGGGGGCCACACCCTAAAACCTGAACCCTAAACTCTAAATCCTAAACCCTTAATCCCCTAACCCCTAAACCCTAATCTCCTAAACCCCTAAACCCCTAAAACCGGAAGTTGGCTGTGGGGAGGTTTCCAACCCTCAACCGGAAACCGGAAGCGTGACAGGACTGGTGTTGGTCTTCCTACTGATCTGCCTTCACACGCAAAGCCTCTTGCGCGGTGGCCCAGTTTAGGGTTGAGGGAACTTCGGGTTACCTGGATCCTTCAACGCAGTTCTCGTTTGGTTTGGTATAGCTTTCTGGTTATGATGCTTATCAGGTCCCCCACCCTCCACAAAGGTATTGCACTTTAGGGTCTAGGTAGGGTTTAGTGATTTCACTCATACTTAGTTGGTCATCCGGGGAACGGAGTCCGGCAATGCTATAGGGTGTAGGGTTCAGGGATAGGCATCGACCTGCGATTCCCAACTAAGCATGAGTAGGCTTCAGGGTTTAGTTCAGGTGTTGGCTCTGTAGGGTTTAACCCTAAACCCTAAAGTGTTTAGGACTTGTGCCAGTTGATGCCACATACACTAGCAGTCCCCTATCAAATTGCCTTTCAGCTACCAAAACCCAATACAGGGACTGCTTCTCCGTAATCTAGAAGCCGACTGTTGAGGTCCCAGATTGCTTGTATAAACATCGCATGGGGTACTTCATGAACCTCAATGATTCTGGTAATTCATACGCATGGCAGTGCATGAGCTATAGTCTAAACTCCTTAAAGGTGGATATATAGGGGATGATATAGGGGGGTATTGTAGGGGTTGCTAAGCGAGATACTAGGGCTTAGACTAGAGCTCCTATGAAGGAGTCAAAATCTTTGTGTCGCTTTGGTTTTCCAATGTCATGGGGCCCCTAAAGTACTGTAGAAGATACCGTGACAGAGAGCATCATTTTGACCAGCTTCCATATCTCTGAGGAAAGACAACCTTTCCTCCATGCCAACGGCAATCATCCGTGGGCCAGTATATAAGCTATAGTCTAAACTTTAAGGGGGTTATATGTGGGTTGTACAGCGGACCATTATGGGGTGTTATGAAGGGGGATTTGGGGAGTTAGACTACAGCACATATAGTAGTGGGCAAACTATAGCAACCTCGCCCAACCTTACCTGAAACGGCGCTTCACATAGAAGACAGTCCCAAATTGGCTCATTTTCAGCTTCTGAAACCCTAAGAAAAGGCGGTCCCCTCATCTATTGAGACTCCCAAAGTTGCTCGTTTCTTCACTCCATGCCACCACGGGACCATGATTAAGCTTCCGGTGTAGAGTATGGGTCAGGAAGCAGGGCCGAGGATCTAACTACTTGGAAAGACTACTTCCCAGAACAAAGGGGCGACCCCACCCCCAGACCCGTAGCCAGAGCAGCCTTATATCCCAACAAAAGTAAACCAAGTACTACTGCAAGCCCGTCTTCTGTAGGTGCCTAGATATTTCAGGTACACGTTACCGTTCTGAACTCCAGACCCTAAACCCTATAACCCTAAATCCTATGCCCTATAAACTCTTGATCTACGTATATATATATATATATATGGCAAGGTATCCCTTTTATCTTCTAACATGCATAGGAAAAGCTGTACCTATATGTATATATAACCCTAAACCCTAAATCTAAACCTTTATAAAGCCTAAACCTTAAACCCCAAGCCGTCCCGGGGCTTCATGAGTTCTCGCCCTAAGCCCTACTTGGAGCTTGTAGGGTTTAGGGTTTGGGATTTAGGGTTTGGGATTTAGGATTTAGGGTTTAGGGTGTGGGATTTAGGGCTTAGGATGTAGGGTTTAGGGTTTAGGATCTAGGGATTAGGGTTTAAGGTCTGGCCTTTTAACCCTTCCTATTCTCCCCCCTACTGGACTTGTACGTTCATAAAGGATGCCTCCGTTATAAGGAGTGTTTCAATCCCTAAGTCAGGGTCTCGGGTATACTATAGTACTTTCCACGTTCTTTTCCATCATCCCCATGTAACCCCAACTTACTATAGCATTGGGGATTCTAAGTCAGCCTAAACGCTGAGCCCCTAAACCCTGCACCCTAGGGTTTGGGGTCCCCAAGCCTCCAAATAAGCCGTGTGTCTCGTTAGGCTTTCGTGCGTCGGGGCGCTGTTAGTGCTTGAGCCATGCACTGAGATAACGGTGGTTTCCAGCAGGTGGTGGGTTTAGGGCTTAGGGCCTAGGGTCTTAGGTACTCCGAAGCCCAAATTTTCCAACCATGTCGGGAGATCCCTCTTTCGGAGCCCCTATAATCAGGATGTCTATGGGCCTTTGGCCTTTTGAGGTGGTCTAGGGGCTCCTGAACCCTAAGGGTCCAAGGACCCAAATAATATGGTTTTAGGGCCCAAATACCATTAGTATTAGAGTATTTGGGCCCTAAAAGCCCATTATTTGGGTCCTTGGACCCTCTGGGAAAGGTATACATGAGGTATCTCAAATAGCTTTTTGTGGATGGGGTATCCTTGGTGTAAAGGGACCCTGGGATTAAGGGCCCGTACTAGGGGCTCATAGTCATAAACTTAGATGGCAGCTACACGAGTTTCTGGAAATACAGCTTAGCGCCAGAATGTTAGGACTGAATAGCCTCAGGTTTAGGGCGTAGGGGCGCAGGGTTCGGGGTCTGGGGCTTTGGTTTTGGACCATTTGAACGGCTGAAATAGCTCATCCTCCCCCTTGAATGGTACAGTACATGACACTTTGGTATCTTCATCATTTGAACGGTATCATGCGTTCAACAACTTCAAGGCAACTTCTTTCTTCGATCTAAAACAGCTTTAGCCAGCGATTCTCACATTGTGGGTCCAAGCGCCGAGGTGGCACGAGGCGGAGGGAAGTCCAGCATCATTACCTACTGTCGCTACCACTCTATTCGCGTGGAGGCATGCTCATGGGCTTCCCCATTGAGCCAGCATTGAGCAGAACTACCACGCTCTTTGTTGATAACAATTTTTTGATTTCCACAATGACACTTGGATCGACGGCATGTATTCGCAAGGGAAGGTATTGTTTCAGGAAACCCTGAAACCTCAGGATTGCAACACTTAAACCTGGTGCAGGGCGCTGCACCCTGAACTCCCAACCCCGCTGTATCGAAGTTTACTTGCTTGGGGCCTTCGGTTGTCGCTGTTGGAGTACCTCGTTGGGCAAGGAGGTGCTATTTGGCTACTATTTGGCAAGTGTGGTACTAGGTATCGAGTTTTGGCTAGCAAGATGCCGCCGAAGCGTCTTGGGGCGTTCCATCATCATCATCTTGTGAACCTGTTATGCTGGTAGCCACGCTGGACTATTCAGCATGCCATCATCATCATCATCATCTTATTCTTCTTATTCTTCTCCTTCTTTGTGGTCACCGTTATGATGTTTCTTGGGTGGAAAAACGGCTTTGCCGGGGTTACCTGCGACGCATTCCCAATACGCAGCCACGGTGGAGATGAGGACCTTACAAGCGACACTCTGAGTAAAGCTGGAGCCACCGCGGTCTTGGGTGCTAGTCATTCCTCAATCCTTGCATTCTAAGGAATGCAGAAGAATACGAATTCAGGGTTTTGGATTTGGGGGCTTCACAGTTCCATAAACCCACAGGCCTTAAACAGTGAAGCCTACGAATCCTGAGGCTCTTACCCAAAGGGTCCTAAGTACTCATATGGGGAATACTTACCCAAACCATAAGAGAAATTACTACTACAGAAACCATACTTTGTACCATATAGGTACTTTGGACCCTTTGGGTTAAGCGCAAGCCCACAGGTGCATTCCGCTGGGTTACGTCTTTTTCAAGCAGTTCTCCAACCTCCCGGCGCCTTCCCGAGAAATGCAGCTACAGGGCTTAGGGTTGAGGGTGTAGAGTGTAGGGCTCAGGGTGTAAGGTTTGGATCATCGGGTTTAGGATTTGGGATTTAGGGCTTGGGGCTGTGAGTTTAGGGTGCTAAAGGTTCAATAGGGTTCAGGGCGTGAGGGCTTGTGGAAGTACACGCCATAGAAACAAAAGACAAGAAGTGGATGTTGGCACTACATGTTCCCTCCCTAGACGCTAAGCCTACAATTTATTTCTCGCTTTTCGCTGGTCTACCATTGTGCGGATTCGCAGTGGATCCGTCTCAGGGTTTATGATTTTGGGTTGAGGGTCTGGAGCTTACGATTTAGGGTTCAAGATTGAGAGTTTAAGGCTCTTGGGCTTAAGATTTAAGGCCAAGGGAGAAGTTGGGTACCTAAACCCTCCCATGGAAGGGACAGACTCAATGCAGGTGTGCCCAAAGAGCTTTGTGTGTCTGTGTGGGGGTGTTCTAAAGGTCCTGGTAAAGAAGTTAGCGTTGGGGATGCACTTTCGTTGAGGCGAATCCTAACCAGAAGGGACCTAGTTTGTGGACATTGTGGGGTCAGGTTTTTCAACAAATACCATGTGGTTCCATGTTAGCTTGGAGGAGGAACCAAGGTAGCCCTAAACCCTAAACCCTACTAAGAAAGCTTTATATGGGTGGTTGTCAAGATTATCGTCCCTTCTTGAATCCCTATTATAATACAGCACCTAATATGTAGGGTATCCAAAAAGGGATTGTAATTTTGACAACTACCCATATGGGGATTACATAGGGAACCTGATCGCTTTTCACTCCCTCACTCAGTATGCCCCCCGACACGTATTCTTATTAAGGCTCCCCTTTGGGTTTCGGGTTTAGGGTCCTACACCACACCACCACGTCCACATAGGTAGTATTTCTTCAGTGCCCCCATGGTAATCGTCACCAAAAGAAACAGAATCCCAAAAGGAAACATATTCAGGAATGAACAGGACCCTGAACCCTAACCACCCCTCCCCCCGCAAATCTAACCAACATCTAACATACCTGCTTCCTCCTCACACCAAACTTAACACTCCCGCGCCTAAAGCCCGTGCCCCTTCTTGGATTCAACTTACTATCCCCAATAAACCCAGACCTGCCCATGGATTCTTCCCCATGTGGGTCCCCGCAAAAGTGACAAGAGACCTTCTTGGGTTTTTGTCAGGGTTTCATGTTGATTTGGGGGGTTTATACCCTAAACCTTTTCAAATGCTAAGCTTGCAGAGGAAGGCTTAGTTGACACCGTCCACGCTCAGAAATACCAGAGCCCCAAAATTATGTAGGATAATAGCCTTTTGGGCTTTTCTTGGGGTTTAGGGACATGTTTTACATGTTTTTGGTGTTTACGTACGTGGACATTCTCCAACATTGTATTCCGCGCGGTTTAGGGTTTTGGGTTTAGGGTAGTTAACTTGGAAGATATCTTGGATTCAGCAAGTCTAATTAGTGACCAGGGGTTATGGGGCTTCTAATGCGGGCTGCTCTTGGGGATAGCAGATAAACTTAGTCAAAAGATCATCCAAGTACCCCCAGACCCGGATCCCTAAGCCCCGTATCCCCATATGCTTTTATATCAGCCTTTCTGTATGCCCCCAGACTTATTCAGTCTTTTCGTACCCTCCCTTTAACCTTGACCCCAAACCAAAACCCAAGATGACTGGGCCACGCAGCCTCTTATCGCCGGATCCTACACGACACGCAACCTTGCACGCCCAGCCCAAAACAAGGCCTAGATATCCTCGAGCTAAGCCTTAATTAGGCCATATGTGGGTTTATTTCGGGCAGAGGGAGTCAGGGCGCGCACAGTATGCCATAATCTTACCCCACACGCTCGCAGAAAATCAGCATCGTCAACTGCGTCTCCACCTTTGTGATCATTGGTGTTGGCCACAACCTCAGTTCTGCATCAATGTTAGGGATCCTTTGTACACTGTTTGGGGTACATAGGGATTTCTTAGATTTATATAAAAGGATCATGTTTTCTTCCTGAGGTGGGTAGCTTCCCCATGTAAGCCTCACATAGCCCTGATATACCCCTAGGCTACCCATGTAAGCCTTATATAAGCCTCATGTAAGGGTACCCACCTGGTAACTACACTCCTGAAAACTGCCTTAATAGTGGGGGCTAAGAATTTCCTGGATTTGGGATGGGGGTAGTGCATGGAAACCATAAGCTTTCTTCGCTTCTGCTTTGATAAACACATCAGCTTTAGTCTAAACTCCTAGCATACCCCTTAATGACCCCTATGATACTCCCCTACATAATCCCCTATATAACCCCCTTTAAACAGTCTAGACGCCAAGCCCTAAATCCTGCACTATATGCAGTAGAACCCCCCGTTTGAAAAGAAGCGCTGGCAACCAAAGGTTCAGACTAAATATGCGTAGATTCCAATACGCCAGGTCTTTAACCCACCCAATTTCAGTACATCACCACATTTGATTTCTCTTTGAAAGGGCCCTGAACCCTAACCCTACCCTAAACCCTGAACTCTAAACCTTAAACCCTAAACCCTAAGCCCGAAACTCTGAACCCTAAACCCTAATTCCCTAAACCCTGAACCCTAAACCCTAAGACTTATACCCGAAACCCTGAACCCTATAAACCTTATACCCTAAGCCCCACAACCCCAAACCCTAAACCCTGAACCCTAAACCCTAAACCCTAGACCTTATACCCTAAACCCTGAACCCCAAACCCTAAACCCTGCCTGAACCCTAAACCCTAAAACCCTAAACCCTGAACCCTAAGGCCTACTAAACCCTAAACCTCAAACCCTAAACCTTGGGTACTGCCCCCCCCTCAGTAACAGCTGGATAATAATTATATTATGGTTATATATAGCCCTTAATAGGACCCCTAATATAGACTGTTACTGAGGGGGCAGTACCCAACCTAAACCCTTAGCCCCAATGCCTAAAGCTTAAACCCTAAGGCCTACAACCCTCAACCCTAAACCCTAAACCTTAAACCCTAAACCCTAAACCCTAAGGCACCGTGGCGGATGTGGTGGACGAGGCTGTGCCCTCGAGGGCAGAGTCCTGGCGAACTGGTGGATGGCCGGATGTCCTGCATGCCTTTGCCGCTGCTCCGGATGAGGCTTCGGATGACCTACGGAACGCGGCCACAGCGATCATGGACAGCGTCGCTAGGGCGTTGGAGGCCTCGGATGATGAACGTGACGCGCCCTCGTCCTCCTGCTGGTTGTGTGGTTTCCGGAAGACCCTCTTTGTCTTGATTGCGTCTGTGATGGGTGGCCTCTGAAATGGGCGTACCAACCGTAGCGGCAGGGTGGCTGATGACTGTAGCTTCTCCCGTCTTAGCTGGCTCCTGGAGTGACTGTACGTGTCGCACAGGGTTGGCTTTTGGTAGTCTGCCCTTTGGCTCAGTGTTTCAAGGAAGGGGACGTGGCTCCTGCACGATATGTGCCTTCTGACCTGCATGCAGGCGGAAAAAGGGGCGGCAAAAAAAAAACTAAGGCCTAAACCCTAATCCTTAAACCTTAAACCCTTAGCCCTAAGGCCTAAACCCTAAAACTTCAACCCTAAGGCCTAAAACCATGAACCCTAAACCCTTAGCCCTAAGGCCTAAGCCCTAAACCTTAAACCCTAAACACTTATAGTCCCCCTTAAGTAGATAGAATATGGGGGATCATATTATAATGTACCCAAAGCCATATTCTATCTACTTAAGGGGGACTGTCCTTAAACCTTAAACCCAAACCTTAAACGCTAAACCCTAAACCCTAAAACCCTAAACTAATCCCTAAATCCCGAAACCCTAAACCCTAAATCCCTAAATTCCTAAATCCCTAAACCCTAAACCCTTAGCCCAAAGGACATTGGCATTCTCAGGCTCAGACTTAGTCTTCCTCCTCACGGACGCTTGGCGCCAGAGCGCGAACCGATCCACGGTCCCAGAGGAAGAGTTCGAGGCGGTTCAGGGTTTAGGGGTGGTGGGGTTGAGGGGTTTGGGGGTTTAGGGTTTAGGGTTTGGGGTGGTGGGGTTTAGGGTTTAGGGGGGCTTTGAGGTTATAGGTTCAAGATTCAGGGGATCAGGGCTTACCTGAACCCCCAAGGTATGTAGAATAAAGGTCTTATGTTTTTTCTGTCACGTGTTTTAGGCCATTGTTTTACCTACTGAGGGGTTTAGGTACGCGGTTTGGAGTTTGGAATTTAAGGTTAGGGTTCGGGGTGTTTGGTGTGGAGTTCGTAGTGTAGGTTGAGTGTTACAGGGCTTGGGTGATGGAATGAAGGAGGAGGATCTAGGAATTGGGATATGGGACGAGTTGAGGGGATTTATCCACTACAGGAATCCAATGGGATTTCTGGCAGTCTCTTGAAATGGGGAGGGGCATTTCGGGACCCCAAGGGCAACATTTTGGTTTAGGATAGGGCTATAAAGGCTATATGAGCTACTATCAATATTAGGCTCATTGAGGAGCCTTGACAGTGGACACAGGGGTCCTTCTTGTAGTTTGGTAGAGGCCCTAGTCTAGTTCTTAGTAAGGAACCCATGCTCATCAATTATCTGGGAAATAGACTGTAGCTCATATAGGGTTCAAACGGTTTACGGGGTTTAGGGTAGGGTATCCTGGCATGCCAATACTAGAGCCAACACGTCAATTATTCTACATACCCCAGGGGTCCAGGTATATCTTGGATCATATTTTGCCTCCTAGCATCATGCCTTAGGTCCTTCCCCCTCAGGGTGACTGTCATCAACAGGATTTCATTACGAGGTTATTCGAACTTCCATGCAGGATTACCTAAAGCCCAAACCCGAAGCCCTTTATACTCTGGGAGTTATAGCACTATGGTATAACCCGGGCATGCAGGATTTCAGTATCAATAGCAGGACTCAGCATAGTAGCTGTTACCGTGAGGGGGCATATTGCAAATCATGCTTGAGTTGGCTTTTTTTTGTTTAGGATTCAGGGTTTGAGGGTGTAGGGGCTTAGGGTTTCGGGGTTTAGGGCTTAGGGTTCAGGGCTTAGGGTTTGGAGATTCTCCCAGTATGGTTTCAATATGTAGGCCTTAGATGAGCTGCTGTCAATGTTAGGCTTACCGCGGGGCTATTAAGGGTGGACATATGGGTCCTCGGGTAGTTGAGTACAGTTGTTTCTGATAGATTCCCTCACGAGGAACCCATGTTCATAAACTCTATGGGAAATCGACTGCAGCAAATATGAACCCAAGTTTGTCCTTAGAAGGGCGTAAAGCGCATGAGTGCAATTTCAGCGCCTAAGCTCTACACCCCTAAACCCTTAAACCCCACAACCCCAAACCCCAAAACCTAAACCCTGGACCAGCCCCAAATTGCGAAGCTGTAAAAATCACTTCTTCTTACACCTCACTGATGGGGTTTAGGGTAGTTGAGGGTTTAATGTTTAAGGACTTGAGCCCAAAAATCCATGTGAGTAGAATTTCATTTGGGGGATTATGGTACCCAATATAGAGTAAGATTATATCCTCCTTTTGGTGTATGGTATTTTATTTAAGGAATATCATCTTACCAGGTTCAAAAATGCTACTTAAGTGTGGAAGCAGTTGACATGCCTAATGTAGATCCATGATTAATAACCGCCCTTCTTTTAAGGGCCCAAATTGAAGGATCCCTATTATAATCCCTATTAAGGAGACGGAGGTGTATTAGTCAATTCAAGAGTATAGGGTCAATCTACTTGCTGGCTTTGAGTTGGGAATGGCAGAAGGAACGTTTAGGGTTTAGGACCTTTTGGTAATTTGGTGTTTCATAGGCGCAGCTGTGCGGATCCAATGTCTCGATCCCCCACCAGAACCAAACCCTACATTGTAAACCAAGAAGCCTCATGTCCAAGCACAAAGCCCCAAACACCCCAATCCCATTCTAAACTTAATCCTCCCCAAAATTGAAACCCTAAACCCCTCAAGACCCAGGTTCTAAAACATGTCCTGGGCAGCATGCAGCAGGATCCACCTGATGATCCAGAACTTGACCAGTTTGAGAGGGCCGTACTTGCACACCAGAGGCAGGAGTCACCCTAAACCCCAAACCCTAAACCCTCACGGCGGGTTGAGGTGTCAGGGGGAATTTGGAACTAAGAGGTTGAGGCAGGCTTCGGGTTTAGGGTTTAGGCTTCCCGAAAACTAGACCCTAAGGGGCTACCTGGACCCCGAAAATATGTAAAATAATGGCCTTTATGGCTGTTCTCATGGCTTGAGGGCTATTATTTTACATGCTTTTAGGGTTTAGGTAAGGGTTAGGATGAATTTGGGAGAGGCCTGCATGTTTTTTGGGGTTGACGGGTTAATTTTATGCCTGGAGGGGCTGAATATTTTCCACCGAGGCCACTGCACGCAACAGAGCCATGGCTCCTATGAGTTCATACCTACTTAGAGGTTCTTGAACTTGATAGGTCTTCTTTGTCACAGTGTAGACCCCTTATTAATACAACCCCCTTCCCTTAGTAAAGATTAGTAATACTAAGGCCCTTAACCGGAGGGGGTTTATTAATCACGGGTCTGCATTAGGGGTTATGAGCCTTGTGAAAAAGGGTTACTGGGGATGGAAGGTAGCCTGACTAAGTCAAAAGGTCATCCAGGTGCTGGGGCTAGAAGGAAGGTCGAGACACCACCTCCACCTGATACAAAATGAGGGCGGGAAGAACATGAGCAAGTTTCCCGCTGTCCGAAGAGGTCCGGGGGCAATGTTCTGCTGGGACCTCAAAACCGAACAAACAAATAAGTGCGTTCTGTCAATGGCCTAGAAGAGAGCCGTTGAGGGTGTAGTGTGCTATAGAGGCCCTGCTCAAGAATGCGGATCCCAGATTACCTGGCCCATGCTGCCTTCAACGATATGCTTCATTTAGGGCAGTATTCCTGGTAGTGGGATAGGTGTGTATAG